CCCCCATGCCATTTCCTTGACACTACAATTTTTAAAATGGCATTTACAAATTAAACAAGGTGATATGTTATTTAGGCATAGTAAGGCTTTGACTATTGCAGTTAGCCCATTTATTTTAAAAGAGTTTTCGCAGCAGGAGAGATGCTATAAATATTCTGAATATAAATTGCCTTGTTAGAGAAATTGAGGTCTAATTTGTGATTAAAAAAATGGCTAATTTTTATTTCCCTGGTTTGTTGAGAATAATATAAATATGAGACATTTAAACAATTTATTGTATCTCTTCTTTTGTTTTTGTTCATTTCTTTCACTTTGTTCCTGAGATTACTTCCACCAAGAAATTTTCTTCCCTACCCAGTCCTTGCCATGGCTAACTCCCACTTATTCTCAAAGTAGTCTCTCACTAGGAAGGCTTAAATCTCTGGTGACTCTCATACCTCTCTCCATACCCCACTTTTATGCTTCTGAGTGCAGAAGAGATTTCTTTTGTTTACCCTTGGGGCCTAGATATCTTTAGTGCTATTAATGGCCTGGCACATGGTACCATGTGCCAAGTAAATATGCGTTGGATGTGGGAGAGCACTTTCCTAGTATGTTCAAGGTCCTGGGTTCAATCACTAGCACCACAAAATATAAAAATAAAACGTGTTGGATACTTGTACTAAATGTATGTTTAACATTGGAAGAACATTTTCCTTATATGTCCATATATTACAGTTAGCATTATTTTATTTCAAGAGTGTATTTGTATATCAAATCAGAGTTTCTCTTAGCAGTAGTGTTTTACATGATTATGTCCTTAACATAAGGACATAAGAAAATGTACTTTGTAAAACTTAAGTTGTGATGTACTATATCTGAAACAGTGCTTGAAACTTTTAAAAATTAGTTATTTCATAAACTTCCTATTTATTTTTATACTTTAGTGCTTTTATTTGCATTATCTCATGTGATCTCCTTATTAAACCCAATCAAGTAATATCTCTTACCCATGTCAGAAATGATTATGTCAGTAATCCAGTTTCACACAGTTGTTGGTTGAGAACCCAGGCTAGAGTGCAGGTTGCTATACTTAAGTATTTCTGTTATGTGTAAGGGAATAAAGACCAAGAAAAAAACATTAACTCCAGGAACAAGAGCAGGAATAAACTCTGTTCCAGATAGAAAATGACTTTCTGTCTTTGGAGAAAATCATAGACAGCTGACTTTGAAAGTTGTGATGGGTTTTAAGAAGAGTTAAGATTGGGGAAGTAATTAGAATCATTGCAGGGGTGGTGGTGAAAGAGTTGGAATTTTATACTCTGGGAACTGAGAGAGATTGGAAACTTGTGACTCAGGGAATTGACATAATTCTGCTTTAGGACTCATCAGTAATGTATGGGATGATTAGAATTTGGAATGCAACATGAGATACAGTGTCTCATGAAGTATTCTTAGTGAAAATTACTTCTTTCTGTACCACCTAGAACATAGTTGCAAAAGGAACAACAGATCATTTCAGAAGATACTTGGAAATTTCAGTCAAGTTAGATTTGGAAACTAAATACATGTATGATATGGGACAAAAGGAAAAAACGAAACATTGTTGTTTTAATACAGTCTTACCACTTCCCTGGCCCCCTGTTCATCCATAACCTTTAGTCTCCTGCGTAGTTAGTCCTTTCAGCTGACCCCCTTAGTGCCTGGCTTATTAATTTTGTTGAACATGTATTTATTAAACACTTTCTATATAATACATTTTGCTAGATATTAAAGGTAAACGACACCTGTAATCCCTGCCCTCAATAAGTGCACAATCTAATGGCAGAAAAAAAATCAACTAATCAGTATAATATTGTAAAGGATTTATTGCTATAGGTACTGCATGCCATTGAAGGGCACCCTCTTCAGCCCACCGTGGGTTAGGAGAGCATTCTCAGTTCTCTGTCTTCAGAGACATATGAGCTAGCTTCATAAAGAAAGTGGGAAAGATATTCTGTGCAGAGAGAAGCATGTTTAAAGGCATGAAGTGGCAAACATGGAAATTTGCAAATTGCTGAATGAACCTAAGCAGGGCAGCATCCAGCTCCTGAGGAAATACCCTGCCCAGCCAGAATATAACTACAAGTGGTGGTAGCTCAGCACTGGTATTTCCTTAGCATACTAGTAATGTCATTGAAAATTTATTCAAAATCTAGGAGCTAATCAAAGTATTATATTTAGTTGTCCTTATCTCTTCAGTCTTCTTTAATATGGAACTGTTTTCTAGCATTTTTTGTTTTCTTTTTCTTTCCTCCTTTCTCTCTTGGTCTTTTATTATGTTGTTTTTATAGCCCAGACCAGTTATGTCACAGAATATCCTCACTTTAGGTTTATATGATTATTTTCATACAATTAAATTTAAATTAGACATTTCTGTGCAAAGTACTGAACAGGTTATGTCATTTCACAAGGCAATTGGTGTCAATGTATCCTATTCTTGATACTGTCAAATTTGGGTAAAATGATAACATGTCCTGTTTGCTCACAGCCTTACACACAATGGTTTTGCAACCAAGTATGATTCCTGCCTAAATCATTTGTTACTATGTGCATTGGAAACGACTTATTTCTCTCATATCTTTGACATTTGCCATCTAATAGTTGACACCTCTATGTAAAATTATCTTTCCTTTCCCCTGCAAAGATGATGATGATGATGATTTTAGCATCATTGTGGATACTTAATTTTTTCCCAGTGTGTAATAATTTATTGTCATCATTGCTTACTTGATGCTCAAATTGTATAAATTTGGCAGCTCTGTCCTTATAACATCCATTTTTATATTATTTGATTCTATTTTCTAGCACATCAGTATGTTCCTGACTCATTTTTGCTAAGTGTTCTGATTCATTTTAGTGAGTAATGATATTTAGAAACCAAGCTCTCAGGACTAGTGTGCTCATTGAGGCAGTAATGGCATTTTTTCTGAACACTTTTGGTCTCAAAAGCTAGGAAAAATATTTTTTAAAACCCTGTGCCTAAATTGATTCCTGTGAATTCAACCCAGTACTTTGGGATTCTTCCTCCCTCCTCCTATTCCAGATTTACATCTCCTTTCCCACAGTGAGGATCACTGTTGACACTAGCATTAACAACTTTACCCATCTGCTCAATATTATAATGCACACATAAAAATTTCAGAATCATTATACAGCATTACCACTACCAACAACAAACTTACTAAGGTGACAGTTCATATTCTCTTTGTAGCTTTTTTTTCTTTTTTCTTTAAAGTATATGCTATTAAGGACGTTTAAAAATTACTTGGGTTTAGTTTTTTTTCTCCTTTATAGCTAATGCTATCAATTTGATAACTTGTTCATTTGCTTCCATTTGATTTCAATTTGAAGATTTTTTTTAATCTCATGCTTGGATTTGTAAGCAAGCATGAGATTAAAACATTTAATTTAAAAATTTTTAGATGTGGGCTGAGGATGTAGCTCAAGCAGTAGCGCGCTCGCCTGACATGTGTGGGGTGCTGTGTTCGATACTCAGCACCACATAAAAATAAAATAAAGATGTTATGTCCACCAAAAAATAAAAAATAAATATTAAAAAATTCTCTCTCTCTCTCAAAAAAAATTTTTTTTAGATGTTTTTACTAGTGAAATGTATTCATGACCTCAAATACTTAGCATTATCTGCAGTTCTTCTTAGGGGAAAAAAGCATAATTAAGTTTGAGTGTAAATTTTCAAAGATAGCCAGGTAATTACTTATTAAACTGTCTGAAATATTTAATGTATTTTAATTAAAAATAGCCATCAGATCACTTTAGAATTAAATTTATGTGTAAATTAACAACCTCCCAATACTCTATTTCTCGCCCACCTGTTTTGATAACACCTACAAGGTTTAGTACTCTTCTAAAAATATGAAATAGGACCAGATGGAAAACCGACTGATACATATTTATATTTATATATCTGTTTATAAACTGTAAATGAGTGTGTTATTTGTACTCTACTGTTTTCACTTGCTATTCTCTATTAAAGAGATTGTTTCAAAATGGAAACAAAAATGAAGTAATAAAAAGTGTGGAGAAAAATCATTTTTTCTATCAGATGTCATGTTATACCAGCCTTACAGTTTCATAGAGAATGCCTGCAAATAGCTTCTTTTGCAGGAACAAAAAAGTCTTTAATATTTCCTTTATTTTGGGTTGGGCCAGTAACTTTTTTGAGTTCTTTTCTCCTGCTTCCTAGGAATGATTTTTAGTATTGATAGTTATAAATACCTGTGAATATTTTTAATGTTATTTGTAGACAGAATTGGTTCTGTATATACATCCTTTATTAATTATATAATGTCAATTTAACCTAATCATAATGGAATGCAGTTCTTTAAATTTTTGAGAGACTTTTTTAATTATAGAAGATAAACTTTTTATACATTCTGTAAAAGTTTTAGCGATTGTTCTGTGTCACATCTAGTCAAGGGACAATTATTCTCTGATATGGAAAAAAAATAAATCATTGGGATTGATTTTTCATATTTATGAAAGTTAGCATGGAAATGTAATTTTGAACAGTAAGTTTAGATGTGCAGAATCTGTTACAATAACCAAAACACTGTCCCAGACCTAATCAATTTTTAGAATAGAGGCTGTTGCCTTATTAAAAAAATAATACATTTCTACAAGGGAAGTGTGATTTATGATAACTTAAGACATACATATAACTAGAGCCACATTCCATTTAAAGTCATTGTGGCATTGGACTATAAAAGCAGTGCTCTGAAGTGAATCAGTAGAACTTGGTCCTTTTTAGTAGACAGAAACAGAAGCACTAATGAGGTATATTTCATTAAAAGATAGTTGATTTATGAGAGAGAGGCCTTTTTTATTTTGAAATTGCTGGCTTAGTCCTGGCATCTGGTCTTTTTTCTCCCTACCATCACCATCCCCAATTTCTCTGTATGCTTTGACATTGCTATGGTAACCCTGAGGGCTGATGGAATTCCCTGCATCTCTTTTCACAGAGGGTGATGAGACAGGAGTGATGGATAGTCTGCTGGAGGCCCTGCAGTCGGGGGCTGCCTTCCGCGACAGAAGAAAAAGAACACCAAAGCCGAAAGGTGAGCACTATGCTTGTTTTCATGTTACTTTCTAGGCAACTATCACAGAGAAGAAGACTTTTTCTTTCTAATTCTTTTAAAATCATGTGTCAAGAATGCAGTGCTATGGGCAAGAATTATTCAGAAGTTTCATAAGTTTGCTTAATCTCTTCCAAAGACAAATGTCAGAGAGATGTGCATTCCAGTTGGCTAATGTCAGTGGCACATTAACAAATCAATGCACTGAACCTAGAAAATCCTGATTAGTGTGACAAGTCTCATCCAAAGAACCATATGTACTTTGTCCCAGTGGAGTTTACAGTAGCATAATTAAGTGGGAAGTAAAAGTCATAACATTACTGCTTCAAGTGTTTCAGGGTACTGAAGCATTGCTTTGCTTCCAGAAATACTTAACCTTGGAAGAAAGTATGTCTAAATACTAAATACTTTTATGCTTCTTGAGATGAACAGATCTCTACATTAAGTTTCTTTTATATATTTTTTAACAGATATTCGGCAAAGTCTCAGTCCATTGTCTCAGAGGCCTGTTCTGAAAGTTTTTAACCATGGTAATAAACCATATTCATAAATTGCACTTTATTTCTTATCTACTTTTATCCTGTTGGTCTGTGATTTTAGTAGGCTGCTCTGACGTTTTCAAGTTTCAATATAACTAACAGTAAAATGTAGATGTTCATATTTGATGAGATTATGACTCATGTTTTCTATTTTTATATTTTGCCTTAAGGTTGTTTCTTAGGTTCTTCTTTTCAGGTTTCAAATGAATATTTTATTATTTGAAGTTGCCTTTATAATATTTCTGATCACTGTTGTCCAGTGCACACTTTCAAAAACAATGTGTTCTCATAATGCTATTTTAAATTGTGGAAGTGCCAAACGTCAAGATACAATTTGAAGTGTTGAAAATGACACCTGTTTTGCTCTACCATATTTGCTATGTAGTCAGAAAATACTTTCATTTACATTTTGGCAAAATTATAGATACACATGAACCCTGCATTATATTATTGTGGAAAGATGTACTAAAATTGATACAAAGGTGAATTAATCTCATCTCTGCTATTTATCTAAAATTGATTCCCCTCAGAAATCCCATAGCAATCTCATATGCCCAACTACTTGGTACCCTGTTCCTCTGTTCAGAAGACTGTTTTGTGTTGCTTGACTGTTTTCACTTTGGTTCTGTTTCCCTCCTTGTTCTGGTTGTGGATTGGTGCTTGCTTTCTGAAGTCAAAGACTCAGTCATCCCCATTTCTTCAAGTGATGTAGTTGTCAAAGGTCACCATATTTATAAGTAGAAATATACTTGACAGATTTCATCCAAGGGTTTTTGGGTGCAGATGAGTTAATTTCTAAAAGTATTTATGTATGGCTGAAAGGGAAACTTGTGCCATGTTTTCTAGGATAGCTTAAAATACTTAATGAGATAAGTAAAAACAGATGGGGATGCAATGACCTCTTAATAAGTATATGGATTTTTACTGCCCAAGGCAAAGTACTTATAGTAGATGTAATGAGAAGAAAGGTAAAAATATGCCACAGTATTTTAAATAGGTGTTTTAAACTTCTTTTAGTATGTCTTTGTGTTTGTTCTGCCCTTTCCTATTCTAAGAGAGTAGAAATAACTTAAGTAAGTTCATTATGGATAATTAAGTAATTTCTAACTTTGGACTTATGATTTTGAGTCATTATGACATACTAAATTATGGTAAAAATTGTAGAGGATAACCCTATACCAGACCTTAAAGATTGTTTAATAAATGAGTAAAGGGAAACCCAGAGAGGCTGAAAATCCTGAGCACAGAACTAGTGCCACACCATGACCATAATACAGGTCTCTAATTCCTGTGTATTTCTTTTTTTATTGCATATAGGTATTTCAATTTTTTTTACTACTAATAAAAGAAACAATTCAGCCCCCTTTGTAACAAATCATTAAAGAACTACATACAAATGGGGATTATGAGATAGTTATAATGGCTTCCTATGCTTTATTTAAAATAAATATTTTAGATATTAATGCAGAGGGAAATTTACCTTATATATTACCCTTGGAGAGCCTTTTATGACTTTAATGAAAATTAGATATAATGGCTTGGCTGTAATTACTAATAAATTGTGTTATTTCTGTCCATTATATAAAAGCAGATATACTGTCTCAAATTCTAAGGCTAAAGTAAACCGGTAGATTATATCGCAAGCCAAAGGATATTTTTCACAAAGATCAAATTCTCTTTTCTAGTATAAATGTAGTAGATTAAAACATTTCTAGAAAAATTTCTATTGGTATTTTGTTTCTAGTCAAGTAGGAAGAAATCTCAAATTTATCTTTGAAAATGACATATATAAATTTATTAGACTTATATGTTGAAAAATGCAGGATTTGGTTAAGGAAAATTTCTTCATCACAAAAAGGTTCATGAATGTTTTTAGAATAGAATATTTCAGAGTTCATTTTGTAATCTATTTCTAAAAATTACCTGTTTTCATTGAAAATACAACCCCACTACTGAACTGCATGATTACAATGTAACATTGAACCTATGATATTTTAAATTTAAAAATACCTGGTATTTATATTGCCTACAAGTATGTGTTTGTTGATATTATCTTGTAACCTCTTTGTAGAAGAGTTAAAAAGATTCTCTGCAATTATTTTAAATTCTACAAACTAATTTATGTCCTAAGTAAAATAATTTTATTAATAGAAATAATAATAAACTGCTGTTTACTGAATTACTTGACTTACTATATGCCAAGCACTGTGCCAAATGTTTTATACGTATCTATCATTGCATTTAACCTCAATAATCCTGTCAGATAGTCAATATTTTTACCTTTGTTTTACAGTTGAAAGTAATTAAAGATTAAAAAGATTTGATGGCTTGCTTTAAAGTCATGCAGCAAAGTTATGAACCTGGGCCTGTCTGTCTTCAGCTCCAAGCTCTTATTCTATTTGCAACATCATACTCTGAAGTCAATGGCTTAAATCCATATCTAATCCCTTTTCCATCCATCAGCTAGTGACACATGTATGTTTGTTTCTCTTGTGATATGAAGTAGAACTATTGAGATGCAGCCTCTTGGAGGTTCTCCAGCCTCTGGTATGCCTTACCTCTTATTCCCAGATTTAACCACTAGATAGCACTATTTTCTTGGTCTGAGACTTGAATTACAAAAATATTCTTCCAGAATTCATTATGACCACTTTTTATTTATTTTATTAAACTCATTATTAAATCCTCTTGTTAACTTTAATAAACTTATGCTCTGTTATAAAGACTGTAGAAGACTTAAATAAATAAATAAATATATAATCTCCAAAACCCAAATTTAAGCTTATTAGTGGTAGTTTTAATCTCTTATTAAATATGTATCTCTTATTATCTGTGTATAGTCTGTGCCTTTTAAAACCATAACTTTAGTCCCAAACTTCTTATATTTATTTTTATATATTCAGAGTATCTTATTTCAGACTTTAAGAATCCTGGTAAAACATCCTCCAGAACTTTGGGGCTAAAATGTCCCAGTATGTATTTTTTAAAACATATTTTTAGTTATACAGGAACATAATACATTTATTTATTTTATGTGGTGCTGAGGATCAAAACCAGTGCCTCACATGTGTTAGGCAAGCACTCTACCAATGACCCCAGCCCCAGCCCCCCAGTATATATTTTGATATACTGACCATAAACTCCAATGTGTTTCAGAAGCAGAGAAATGTTACACTCTGGCTAACCTAGCCTTCATCATGTGTTATAAATCTCTACCAAAAATATTCTCTACTTTGGTTAAAATTTATACTTGCATTATCTTTTATTTTGGCTAGTAAGTCTTAGGCAGCAATTAAGTATTTGCCATTTCTCCTTGTTAAATCTTCATTTATTCCATAAAATATTCAATAAAATTTAATAAGCACTTGTTAGGCACTTAAGATACAGAGATACCCTGCCAGAAACACTGACTAGTTGGGAGACAGACCAATACTAATTCCCATGGATGTGGTAAATTTTAAGATAGAGGATACACACAGTTTGGGCAAGATTAGAAAGTCTGAAAGGCCAATTCTGTCTTTGTGAGGACAATCCAGATTTGGTTTCTAGTGACATCTGAAATCTAAGCTGAGTTTTAAAGGATGAGTTGAAATGAGGCCACAAATGCAAGGGCAAGGATGAAAGACAAAAGAAGTAGCCCCAGTATATGTGCCCTTTCCCAGAGAGCCTTTCTGAACCTCTGTCTCTAATAACATGGTCTTCCCAGGATACAGCACTCAGTGCCCTCAGAATGTTTCTTATTCAATGTTGGTCTCCCCTACTCGTGAATACCTTGTGGTGGAGAGAAGGCAATAAGGAAAAGATCTGTATTGTTTTCTGTCTTAAATGTCAGTATTTAGCTGGACTTAAATGTCAGTACTTAACTAGTACTAGCATGTGTTGAATGAATGGTTTATGTTTAGGCTTGAATGGAGCAATTATTATATGAAGGAGCAAAATGATGTCTCAATGTCATCCCAATAAGTGGGATTTAATATGCCAAGTGATAAAGCTGCAGCTGTGAACACCATTAACCACCCCTCATCTCCTCCCTTTAATGTTACCTATTGTCCATGATGACACCAACCAACACTGACCAGTGCTTCAAAAAGGATATGGAGGGTAGGGTTCAAGTTTGAGTGGATTTCTCCTTAGAAGTAGGAGGGATGCTTATTAAATGTTTTCCCTTGTTTAGTCAAGAAAATTATAACAATATTAAAGCAAATTTATCTGCTGATTACTATAGGCTTTTACTGCTTCATTCAACAGCGTGTTCCAAACCTAAAGATCTCCCTCTTTTACATAAAGATAATTAAAATATTAATGCATTTTTATGATGATCATACTATGGTATTTAGGGGTTGATGAATAAAGTGCCTAGTTGGCAATATAGGACTAGGTGGAGAAGTAGTATATTGAAAGTCTGATGCCAGGCCACAAATTTTGGACTATTGAAAATTTTGATTAAGAAAATGAGAGGTGTGAGTAGTTAGGATGGAACTGAATTGAAAAACATAAGCAGGACTTAGCTACTTCAAGGACAGTGTGGATTGGCTGCAAGAGATGGGGAAAGTCAGAAGGAATACTAAGGTTGAAGGAAGAAGCCAGGCTTATAGCTTTGGGTCAAGAGGCCCTCCCAGAGAATCACTAATATTGCATGCTAATGAGTTATCTAAAGGAAGTCTTTAAACAAGGACAGGATGAATTGAGGACTGGACATTAGGAAGGAACTTGGCCAAGGGCTCAATATTAGTGATAGATCAGAATGAATCTATCACTAGTGTTAGAATGAACAGAGGAAGAGGCTGAAACAATGAGTAAGTACGGGGATAGCACCATAGTAGAGCCTGTTTATGAGGTTGAAGGAAGAGTTTCAAGACTTATTTTCCTCATTTTCTTATTTATTTTCTTTATAACCTCTGGTATATCAGTGAGTGGCTCCTGGTTTCCCGGGTATGTAATTGCTGTTCTCCTCAGGGACTTCTCTTCTGCTGTGCATTATAAATCTTTTG